CGATTTATTCGATAAACTAAAGCAATGTAAACCGGCTTAAGGTAGATCAAAAAACTTTTCGCCTTAGCCTAATTTTTTCAAACAATCATTTCTGTTAAAAATAGAGAAGCTTGCTTGATGCGAGCAACAGATTTTCTTACTTTCACTTAGTTATCTTTTGTACTCTCATTCACCCCTTTCTGACAACAGGATATGAACCCCTTAATCTTACATGGGAATTGAATAGCTGTAACTTCCTTCCTTAGTTTTGTAGGGAATTTCATTAACCTTTAAAAAAAAGGGGGGGGGGCTCTGAAACGTATAGATGCGTCGAAAACCACATATCGGAAATTTGTCCCGATCTCAATACTTTCTTTACCTAGTATAACATTTATATTTCCTTTATAACTTTTTTCCCTGAATTTTTTCGCGATTTTAGTCCAGGTACAAACATAGAAAGGACAATTATTAGAACATTATAGGAAAGTTTCATCAAAATCGTTAGAGCCATTTTTGCGCTACGGTCTATAGAAAAACATATTTTCCAGCTATTGCGCAGCAGCTATTGCTATTGCATCCAATTTGTGTCACAGGCATCAATAGTCAAAACCATACAAAATAAAAAAAGAAGCAACAAAATCGGTTCTCTAGTTCCCGAGAAGATCTTAGCGCAGACAGACAGATCAATGGCTGAAATGTGTTTTTCGGACTCAAAGGGCTCCGAAACGTATAGATCCATCGAAAACCGCATGTCGGAAATTTGACCCAATCGCAACACTTGTACGGTAAGTGTGTACTTTCCTAGTATAGGTAGGAAAGTAAAAAGGCGTAAAATTTGTCAAAAGAGATGGTGGACGAAACAAAGTTGATTTAAATCGTACCAGCAACCATTAAATTCACATACATATCTCAAGTAACACAAACAGTTAACAAATGTCTAAAAACGACACAAGCTCTCGTCCAAACTCCCTTTCATTTCTCAAAAAAAAAATATACAGAAGATGGAAGGAATACTAACTTGTAACAAAAGCATTAGCATAGAGCTGCTTTAAACTTTAAATATATTACTTTATTATTATTATCAGTTTTACGTCGATATAAAGGATTAGATAAAAAGCCGTTAAAGCCGTTTTCGAGATAACTGTAAAATTTTTGATATAAAGTGGCACTACCGGTTATTTGTTTTTGACGAAAAAGTTTCTGTAATAACCCAGGCATATACTTAATTTCATTGTCGGGCGTCCTTTTATTTCAGAGCTATGCTGTTCACTTTCAACGTATCTCTATTGAAATCTCGGATTCGAAGCAAGTGTTGCTTTCAGCAAGCTCTTCTTGATTTGATTAGAAAAAGTTTTTGCTTTGCCAAAAAACGTTTGCCAAAAGCGGGGAAACATAACTACTAAATTAAATTACCCCTTTTATCAAATTATTAACATCTGTCTGAAACTTCGCAATTAAATGTATCTCATCGTAACCTACAAATATTTTATTTACGAAAATTCTTGGGGCGTTTTCAATCTGGAAGTCGGCAAACTTTGTTAATTTAATTATGAATTATGATGAATTTTCCCTTTGTGAAATCCCAAGATTATCCACTTACAATTAGTGTGACAACTTTTGAGCTATCTATATGTTGGTAAACTTTACAATGGAAAATAACAGTTTAATTACTAATAGTCCTTCAATCAATAATCATTTATAGGTTAAATATTCAGATTTACTTTCATATCTCGCTAGGCATATATGAACCTTTCAGTCGACAGAATCATTAACTCCAATTTCAATATTGTTTATTATTAATTTTAGTGATGTTTCTAGTGGCAAAATTTATACCTTAATTCACACTTCTATAATTCAATACTGCCAGCATCTACTATGGAATAATCTTTCTCACTGTCTGTATAGATATAACTTTTACAACTATAAATACCACTAAAATGGCATTACTCAAAAATGTTGAAATTGGAGTTAGTCATTCTGTCAACTGAAAGGCTCAGAGACTGAAGTTGTGTGGTTTATAAAAGCAGATGGAGTAACTAGATTTTTATTGCCTATATAATAAATAGACTTTGTGATTTTAATGGTCTTGATGATTTGTTGTCTGTAGGATTTAAGCTATAGCACCATTAAAAGTTTAGAATAGCCCAAAAATTTTATAATAGCCCAACATTGCCAGAAAATAATTTCAAAGTAGAGTGGTAAGTGAGAGTTGTGTGTTGCGCGTGCCCGATTTTTTTTATAAGTAAATGATATTTTTTTCTGTTTTTTTTTTTATTATTTTGGTTTTTAAACCCGTCAATGACACGACTTAATATCATTTAATGATGATATTTATTTCGAAATACATTACCTGAAATTCTAATTCAAATTAAATGATGACTTTTATTGGGGAGGGGAGATGCAAAATTAAGATTGCCCCTCCTGGAAAAATCCTAGTTCCGGTCTTGTTTTAGGTAACGCATTTAGAAAACCATTTATTATTACTTTAGAGTTCACGATATTCTATTGATTTTATTAAATATCATTACAGATTTGATGCTTTTTTAAACATAATGTGAGTTTTAAAGATATTTACGCCTCAAATCCCTTATTGTCCATGAAATTTCGATTTCAAAATGCAATGAGAGAACAGGAAATTATCATTAATATCTTGGGCACCGTGTTAAAGTAAGGAATGTGACACGTTGGGCAGTTAACAGTCATTAGTTCAACGTGGTGTCGACGATATCACTGTTGGAACGTATACTTTATATACATGGAACTAAATATTTATAGAGAATAAGTTTTACTAACTTAGTACATTATCCATCTGAGAAATGTGTCTGTTGCCCTGATCTTGATATCTGTTGTAATACGACATAAATATGTTACGTGCTAACATATAATTTAATTATTATCCACTTACTTGTTACGATTTCTTCTACATGACGACGATAATCCTAAGATGCAGGCACAAGAACACCAACGTAAGCGAGGCAAGAGGCCGACTGGAATCGGCTGGGAGCACGGACAGGATCAGACCTGCAAGCCTCGTTATAGGGGTCTTGTTCTATTTGTTCTCCGTTCACAAACTTGGCTTCTGTTGCCGTTTTTATTCAATTTTTCGTTCTTTTATCGAGTATATCCGTTTTTAGTATTACATTTTATCTTAAATAGAATTAATTAATGTAGTTTACTTAAACAGAATTAGTTAATGCAATTTATTTACTTGCTATATTGTTAGCGATTACGATTTGTTTTGATATGCATCACATTATTATCCAACCAAACTGCTTAATTGTCTTAAAAGTAAAAAAAAAAACTACGTCATGTGCTTAAGACCACACGGTATAAGTGAAAAAATCAACGAAGTTATAATAATATGAAATATAATTTTGTTTTGTTCTATGTTCACAAAGTAATAATATTTACAATATATACAATTATAATTGCGTTTAAACCAGTTTTTGTGTACTATTTTAATGGCCGTTGTCGAAACACCATCAAGTGCAACAGAAAATCTAATAGGAACACTTAATTTTTTAATTTTGCTGCTAATTAAAAAAAAAAAATCTATATTTACTTTTGCAAATTTTTTTTTTGAATTCTCTATGATATTTACATATTGAGACATTTTAGTCCAAATCTACAAAACAGTCGTGATTATCTTTTTCGTTTTTGGACTCTCTAATTTGGCGATAAAATTTTTGAATACAATTTTGAATAATAGCTCATTAAAAATAGGATGAAATGCTAAACATTTCTCTTTCTTACACTATGTAAGTCCAAGCTTTAATTTTTGAGATATTTTAATCCATATGTTCAACAAAACTCGTTATCATTTCGTTTTCGATACTGTCTTTTCCCTGTTTGCCTCTCTAACTCAGTGTCGCATTAAGATATATTTTTGAGTAATAGCTCATTACAAAGAGGATCAAATGTTGAACATTTTCTGGATGACTATTCATCCATATGGAAATGATCTTAAAAAAAAAAAATAGCTTCGTTTTTTATATACGTTATGGCTACGGTGAACTGATGCAGATGTCCAAAATTTATTTCAAATGACTATGGTGAGAGTAAAGTAGAAAAGAAAATATTACACTCCAATTTCTTCTCTAAAAAGATCAGTTGAAAACATATTTTTATTGAAACATTACAAATTAACAATCTACTTAAAGAGTTTTTATAATTAGCAATATTTTATTATAAACTTTATAACATTGACAAAATAATCAAATTCTGACTAACTCGTAATGGAAAAAGTATTTGAATATTCTCTTTACAAATTTAATTATTTAATTCTCTTAAGTATTAAGAATTGAAGTGTGTAATAAACATTGTCTTCTAAAGTTCATTAGGTTTACCGAAATACTTTTGCAAAATTTTCCTGTTCACTTCACTGAAAACTTTTTTCTTGAATTTTTACAAAACTATACAAACAAAAATTCCAATTAAAGTCCCTCAAAAACTTCTCTGTTGATGTAGCGTTGTCGGTTGCGATGGATTGATAATACATATACAAGATTTTTTTTACAATCTTATATCCATGATACATTGCTTTAATAATACATTTTTATAAATACACAATTAAAACATGTTACTTTTTTTTTCTCTTGGTATTACAGACCATGTAGATCTTTCGTCGCCTTAACAAGCCTGCTCCATCTCTTCCTGTCTTGGGCTATTTCTTTCCATTTCTCTGCATGCTGCTCTATTGCATCTTTGTTGATTTTATCTTACATATTACATTTATTGTTAAAAAAATAAACACTATTGGGGAAAAAATCAATACTATTTTCATTAAAATAATATATATATATATATATATATATATATATATATATATATATATATATATATATATATATATATGTATATATAATAATTTGGAGTAGAATATGTTTCGTTCTTTTATTGCAGCAAGTAGCCTAGTTAAATAATTTGGTTTGGCTGCCCAGTAGGCATTTTGTTTTTCTAAATGCTCTCTCTATTCCTGGTAGTGGAATCAGGTATGATAGCTCATTAGATTTCTGTGTTAGCAGGTGTACTACATGACCTCTGCTGAAAAATCAAAGGCCCACAACAGCTTCTTGATTATATTGAAGCCCAGCTCAGGACCGGAGAAACAACTGGCCCACTGTGCAACCCTAGGAGATGCCAATTTAGGTGGCGAAGCGAGCTGCTATACCGGCGTCGCTCACACTTTGCTCGCTGGTGATCTAATCTACATCAAGCAGAGGGAGCGTGATAGGCATATCATTATGAGGCCAGGCCATACCTTCCTAGGCCTCGTTTTGTTGAATAAGAGAGCTAACTAAGTTTCTTTTACTTTATGGTATTAATTGTTCTTAGATTAAATCTTGTAGGTTATGAAGTCATATTCGTGAGACTTTATAATTTGTTTTCAAAGGAATGTTTGTTGTATAAAAATAGTAATAAAATTTAATGTTAGCGTTTTTATTACCAATATATTTTTATAATATAGAGTTGATTATGTGCTTATTTACCAAATGTGAGTTTTTAATACCTCATGCTCTCATTGCATTTTTATAAAATTGTGATAACTATTCTGTCTCCAACAATATGTTGTGAACTTTTTTTTTTACTGTATAAAATTAAAAAATGTGTATAGTGGATTTAAAATTTTTATATTTTCAAAAGGCCAGTCATATTTAAAAAAACTGTTAATTATCCTATTGACTTCCACTATTATTGAATAAGTTCTTTTGAGCCTTTTATATATGATCCCTTTCGTTAACTTTAATCTTTGTTTTGGTATAACCAATTTTCAACATAATGTGTTAATTTTGTTAAGACTTGATATTCCTGTGATAAACCTTATGCTACTGGTATGAAAATAGAAGTTAATATCTCACTTGTATTCAATGATATTTCTTTAGTGCCATCTAGATTAAATTTTAAACGACTGGACCACTTTTGTTATATCTAATTGTAGGATATATATTTTTATTATTAAAATTGGTTTATATATCTTAAATATGTATACGAAAATAATGTAAAGACATACTTTAATGTTATTACAGAAAATCTCTTATTTTTGAAATGCTTAAAAAAAAAAAAGTTTCGAATAAAAAAGTAATAATCTAATCAAGGGGATGTTTATTTTTAATTTCTTGATTAATTATAAAATTACTTTATTTTATTTTTCTACTTAGATGTAAATACTATCTTATAAGGATTTAATAAATAGTTTTTCATTGTTTACTTGATAAAATTTTCCAAAAGTAAATTTCGAAGGTTTTTAAAAACGTTAGAAAAATATTTTTCTTAATTATTATTTGTTTTTATTTTAACTAATAAAATATAAAATTTAGTGTTACCATTTTTATTTTGGTTTATCATTAATACGAACAATTTTTTTTTCATATATATTCTATTTACAATTATTATTTACTTGTTCTCTTAAAAGCAAATCATTTGCATATATTTTATTAAATTTTTGTTAACTTTATATTGGTGTTATAAATTTTTGAATTGTCTTATTTTTAATATATCTTTCACGATTCCGAGCCATTAATTGTATGTGTTTGACTTTCTTCTTTTTTTTAATGCCCTTAACCATATTCTAAAATTGTTAAGTTTATTGTAGCTTTTAAATTCTTTATAGATGCTGTTTTAAAAGTTATATTTCAAAATTATGTTCCTTAACTGATTAATTCACTAATAAAATAGAATTTAGATTGGCTGTGTTATTAATGGCTGTATAATAACTTAGGTCTCTTTAGCTGTTGTTCATTTTGAGCATTACATCATTTTTTTGTGGCGTTTTGAAAGGTTAACGATTAACTAAATGTAGACATATTATTTCTTAATATGTTTTTAGTTGGTATCTAATTGTGTAATATATTAAGATGATAGTTTTTCATTATTTTTTCTATTGTAAATGAATGTTAAATGTTATTGTTTAATGTTGTTTTTACAGTTATTGTTTAATAAGTTGTATTAAACAATCTTATAAAGCAATTTTAATTAATTAGTGTTTTAATATTATACCTTCTCATATTAGATGTAAATCTGGAGATTTGTATTTTAGTATACAAGCTTATCATTCTTTTTTTTTTTTCTTACTCCGTCTTTGAATCTGTGAGCTCAGTACTTGGGTTAATCCAATCCAAAGATGAATTTGAAAGAATCCTTAAGAATATCCAAAGTTCTCTCCATACTTCCTCCATGAATAATTGTGATCTACCCACTGGATGCTTTCTTGACTATGATTTTTTTTGTCTTCTCATTTTCCTGCTTTTGGTATACATGGGGATATCAACTCGTAGTTGGCGTTCTTACTCATAATATTAACTACAAATTAACTCATTGCTTGTTTAACGTATTCATATTTGTGTTTGTTGGGTAATTTCGTAATCTTAAATAATTATATTGCACCAATCAACAATAAAATGTGTACTTTTTGAGTTATTTGCAAATAAAGTTTCTTTTCCTTCATTACTATTTTCTTCTAAAATTTGGGGAATGTAACTATTGTTCCCATCTGAATGTGAAAGATCTCTTCAAAATGTGTGCTTAATCATTATATTTGATGAAAGACTAACCATGATATGGTGTATCGACAAAAACACACCATTGAGATATAATATATAATGATAACCTGAGGGGAAAGAACAAAATATCAATATTAGAAAACTATAAGAACAGAAAATTTATTCATTATTATAAGATTTTGAATTATAAGATTCGACCCTTATATATACTTGTGAAGACTGTCCACATCCGAGGCTAGGTAGATCTCTCTGAATCTGCTGTACTCCAGACGGGTTATTGGTCCAGTGCTAGAGGCCCCGTATCCTCGGGACAACTGGTGGTTAGGCTATACCCCTCAACCTTGGGTCTTCCCAGAGAAGGTGGCCCTGAGGTGAGTACTGAATATGACCTTGTGTATGAATAAATGTAAAGTGTACTGTTCTGTTGTGAGAGTGCCGGGCGACTGGATTAGCAGGTACACAGCGCGGTTGAGTGGGGAAACACCCACGCTGCGCGGGATCTAAGGGGTCGAGGCCCTGTGCGGATGTGTGCAGGGATGTGGGTTTTTGGGGTGTGTGTGGTGTGCGGGGTTGTGCTGGAGTTGGTTGTGGTAGTGCGGGTATGTGGGGCGGGTGATGGGTGCTGGCGACGGGTCCGGAGCGACGCAATTTGTGGGCGGGGTCGCGGGTGGGCAGGGGTTTGGGATGATGTGTTCTTATTTGTTATGGTTTTGTCGTTGGTGGTAGTGGATTGTTTTTGTTATTTGGTAAGGGGGCTTGGGTGTGTCGAGGTTGGTGTAAGGTGTTTGGATGGTTTTTGTGCATTTTATTTATTTATTGGTGGGTATGGTCGCTGGGGCATTGTACGGAGTTCGGGGTGGCGTGTTAGTGTTGAGGATGGTAGCGTGGGGAGCGATGGTGAGAAGGGGGCTGGTGTTAGATACTGGTGGGAGTGGAGGGTTATGGGTATTCTGGTATGGGTTAGGTTGGAACATTAGTGGAGGGGGGGAGTGTATTGTTGGGCTGGAAGGACCATTGGTGGCCCTGCGTGGTGGGCTGTAGTTGGGTTACTTTTTGTGCGAGTTTCTTGTGGGGGGGTTGGTGGGACGGTTGGGTTTTCGGCGGTTATATTGCTGTGTTCGGTAGGGCAGATGGGTATGGTGCTGTGGGGGTGGTTGAGGTGTCCGGGGGTGTAAGTGGCAGTGTGGTCTTTGCGGTGGGTAGGTTGGGAGTGGGAGGAGCAGTGAGAGAGGTGATTGCCGGTAGGGCGGGACTGGAGGCTTGGTAGTGAGGCGGGCTTTGAGTTGGGAAGCAGGTATGGCGTAAAGTGGGGGGATTTTTTTTATAAAATTCTATATTTTATAAAGTTTTAATTAATACCATAATCATACAATATTTTGGAAATGGGGAAACAATTTTTTGATTGTATGTATGTATTAAATTCATTTTTTGATATTATAACTGAAGTAGAAAATGTAAAAACATTATATATTTTATTATTATTAGTAAAAATCTTCTTCCAATGGTATTTCACTACCATCAAATTCTACATCAGTATCATCTTCACTTTTACTTATTTTAGAGCTTGATGGTGATTCAATCTTATCATGTATATCAAGTAGTTCTTTAAGTTGGTTCTTCACCTTATTATCTGGTCTTAAAACATCTTTTACGATTTCTTTTGTAAAATTTTTTGATGAATCTCTGATAGCAAGCTTAGGAAAATCTTTAACTGCAGTAAGTTCACTTTTTCGTGAACTACTTTTAAATGGTTCAATTTTATTTAGTTCTTTGTCTTTCATAACTTTGTGGATTTCAAAATCATCATCTGAATCAAAATTTATTTCTGCTTTATTGTTTTTGAAGTCATATTCATCTGAATCAGAATTATAATCATGTTTACCAAATGTAAAATTAGATTTTTTGTTCACGGTAAATTTTGATCTAACTTTTCTATTTTTGCTTTCTATATTTCTTTTTATTTCTATCTGATCTTCATCTTCTGAATCACTTTTTTGATTTAATTCTTCCATTAACTCCTTCTTTTTGAATTCAATGAATTTCGTACCAGTCTGTTTTGGATTATACAAGTCTTCCATCTTTGTTTCACTACTTTTGCTGTCATATTTCTTTAAAATATCTTGAAGCTCCATGCCCTGTTTGTGTTCTTTTATGATATTAATCATTTTTATTATCATTTCTCTTGGAATAGACTCTAAAAATTTTCCGTGACGGTTTTGCAGGTCATCAAATAAAAAATTAGTGTCAGTTTTGGGCCAAACATTTCTAAGGGGCATCACCCGCATTCTTAATTTGTTTGATTGTTTATAAATACATATAATTGCTGGTGGTGTCAGACGAATCCCAATTTTTAGTGGTTTTCTATTTCCCTGAAACAAATTAATTAATTACAATCATGGTTTAAGTATTTTATCTGGTACATAGATAATTCTTTAATGTTTTATGAGATATATTTGATCAGAAAACAAACTAATGATCTGAAATTATGTTATTTGAATCTGCCGAAGAGATTATAAATGGACTTTTCTCTAAATTTGTTAAATTAAAAACATACAACTTATTACTATATTTTTTCTAAATAATAAACTACATATTTGACACAAAATTGCTTAACTGGTATATCACTTAAGATCCAATTAGATAAGGAATGGGAAAATGGAAAACATGGAAACTATGACATGAAAAAGAAGGCTGAAATTCTACTGACAAATCAGAATGAATGATGAATTCTTCCAGACATTTCTAAAATTAATTGGACATGAAAAACTTAGGAGAATATAAAAAACAAATAAAAGAAGAACTTCAAAAACTTAAAATTAAGAACAGAAGCTGCATGGACAGAAAATAATTTAAACAACAAATTAATAAGACTATCGTGGGAGATCAGAAAAAACACACTGATCCATTTGTTCATTATTTTTTTAGTGAACTTCAATAAAAATAATGAAATATTTATGAAAGAGGAGAAAAATGTAGGAGTAAATAGAACAGATATTTGCTTGATCCATTGCTGGCCGGTTGACAATAAAAGAAACTAAATACTTATAGTACACATCCAACCAAAAATCACCAACAAAAATTAGTGATTTGTTTATTTTGATGAAAAATATAACATATATTATATATAAAAATAATATTAAATAGTAAAATAATAAAATTTCTCATAGTAATATATAAAATATATCATTATGACTAAACATAAGACATCTGTAAATATAATTGCAGAAACATAAATTTGTTTAATTCATCATTAAGATTTTTTTTAAATGCCATTTATTAATTTTATTTATAGCATTGAAAAAAATCTATTTTATTATTTTCTATAAAGGATCGTGGGGTCAGTCAGTACTTTGTAAGAAAGTATTGTTTCTAGGGTTAACAAAACACTATTCATCAATTTACAGATTAATATATTTCCTTTCAGGCCTGCAGCCTAATGTTCTTTTATGTAAAGGTTTTATGTGAAGGCAAGGGTCCATCATTAACATCCTTAATGATGTTTAAATCCTTTTTTCCTCTATAATAAAAACCAAAGGAAATTAATTTTAAAAGTATCAATCAATTATGAATTGGTATTGTATAGAATTCTTATTGAAAAATCTCTCTTTACATATACAGACCCACGTTACTAAAGAAGTAGAAAGATGATTTAAAAAAAACAAAAAGTATTAAGGGGAATTAATTTATAAAAATGTTAAAGCAGTGTTTTAAAAAAAAATGGTTTAAAAACAATTTAAAATGAAGACTATTTTGATCAGCATACTGTACATATATTCTATCAGCGTATTAACAATTTGCAATTACAAGTATTTATGTTTGAAGGAAGAGTATGTTTGAAATGACACTTGGACATTTAGAAATGCATGGAACCAAACTTTAAATTCTTAATTTTATATACTTTATATTAACTAATTATAAGCAATTTAAGATTATTTAATTTTTTCGTTCATTATTGTAATAAAAAGTTAAACCATTATATTTTTTTATTACTTCTTTTTCATGTTTGAGATGTTCATTGCATATTTAAAAAGTTTGAACTGCAAAGAAAGCATTTTCTGATTATATTAGTTTGAGATCAATTTGAATTCTAAGCCTGTGAATTCAATAAACAAATAATTATTACACATGAAATTAATTATTGTAAGCATATGATATATCTTAGTTATTAGTTTGATAAAATACAAATTGCTATAAATTAATTATAGTTCTTCTTTGTTTATTTAGAGTTTTATAAAACATAACATCAGAGATTTGTTTAAAATTTGTTTTGTTTTTTAATTAGTTGTGCAAATTGCTACAAATATGGCCAATGGCTTATTGATTACACCTGCACACGTGGAAGCTGTGTTGAAATGTGACACTATATCTGATTTTCATAACCACCTTAAAGAAAAAAACGCATTTGTACCTAGCAACACCATTAAACTTAAAGAAACCGAACCAAAAGTAATTAAACAAAAGGTTACCATTAAGAATAACATAGAATTTAAGAATTTTGTAAAGCAAAAACTTATCTCAGAAACCAGGGTCCTAAGAGATCCCAGACTACCACTGATTAAAAAACTGAATGCAAATCGGGCTATTTGTTCAAAACCTGCCATTCTTTCAGGCAGTTTGATAACTGAAAAGGGGAAAATAACAGATGACGTGTTGAACTCTAAAACTACTTCTGATCCTGAAAAGCCAGAAAGTTCAGTGATGAAGAGGCTTTCAGAAATAGAGCATGGTAGGAGAGGTGAAGAAGAAATAACTTATCAGAAGATAGAAGAGATAGCAAAATCTATGATGAAAAAATCTCTGAAGAGGAGTGTGGTCGAAAAATATGGATCGGTTCTGGATGATCCTTTAGAGACGATGCGGATGATGAGACTCCTCAGGCTCAAGAAGAAGCCTTTTTATAACAATGTTCCAATATTTGCACACTTCAAAGAAATTGCAAATTTTGAAAAAGAACTACTGGATCAAGGAATTTTTTTCTAAAATTTTCATAAAAAATAAATAAAATAGAAACTCTAATCTATCCTTTAATCATGGGCAGTATGAGCCTAAAGCATATATTTAATAATTTTTTTAATAATTTTAGAAATTGTTTTAATTCTTCTCAGCTATTTTTTTCCTCGACAACTAACTGTGAATTAATCTTAAAACCAACTACAATTTTCTTTTAGAGCCCTAAGTAAAATATATTAAAACAAAATACTTAACATATTAAAAAAAATTGAAATTATAATAAATATAATTGAAGTAACTTCTAAAATTAAAAAGTAAAAAAAAAGAACAAATAACATATATGTATATAAAAATGTATAAAATGTATAGAGGGAGGTAGGATATATGTATATATATGTATACAATGCACTGGCCTTATTTTGGAGCAACCGGAGCAACCGAGACCCATAAGGGGTGCCAGCCAGTCTTCAGGGGCACTTACCAAAAATACAAAACATATTAAAATAATTGATTTATCCCATCAATATAGCAGCTGTATTAAAGAAATATTGAATGGAATAAAATTCAAATATTACATAATTTAAAATAGCTTAAGAAATCAATTTAGTTTTTCAGGATAGGGGAAATGAAGTCATTGTTCAGGGGCTGTATATATATATATATATATATATATATATATATATATATATATATATATATACACATATATAAATAAATATAATATAATATAAAAATTTAAATCCTAAAACCAATCAGTTAAAATTTGATATTTGCTATGGATTTAATCATACACTTTTATACCTAAGAATATCATCGTTAATTAACCACAATTCGATTTATTCTCGGAGCAGAAGGTTATGCATGTAAAAATGTAAAAAAAATGAAAAGTAAAAATGCTTACACACTCATACATGGGCTTTTGAATTATAATAAACGACCTTATAGTGGTAATGGAATGTTTTATCATCCACGCGGCTGTTGACGTCACACAAATAGATTATTTTCGTTTTCGATGTTTTCACCGACTGCAGCAATGACATGATATTTTTTTAAAAGGTTTATTTACATTAATTTGGATTGTGATAACGCTAAGCCTGGCTTAGAAATTTCAAAAACAACTCAAACAAAAAAAAGAAACATTGTTTAGGCATAAAAAACTTGTTGGCGGTTGTTGGGAATCGCATTTCACCTAACCTGTTATAATTTTAGAAGGAAGTAAAAGAAAATGAAAGAAGGCGTAAAATTGATCAAAAGGGATGGTGGACTACACTAGCGGATCCAGGATTTAATTTTGGGGAGGGGCTTCAGCCCGAAATTTTTTTTTTTTTTCATAAAAATGACGATAATTACTTTTGAAAAAAAATAAAGAAAACAACTATCTATATGAAATAGAGTTTAAGTGACTCCTTAAGTCCTTTTAAATGTAATTACACGAACAATAATACTTTAAGAGATAATTTTTTAATATATTTTCCATAAAACATGTTTATATTTTACCATTTTGGGAGGGGCTTCAGCCTGAAAGCCCCCTCCTCCCGTAGATCCGCCCGTGGTGGACTAAACAAAGTTCATTTAAATCGTACCAGCAACCTTAAAATTGAAATACATCTCAAATAAGTGAATCTTAAGTAACAAAAACAGTAAACAAATGTCTAGAAGTGGCACAAGCTCTCGCGCAAATTCCCTTTGATTTCTTTTAAAAAATCGAAAGAAGATGGAAGGAGTTCTAACTTGTAATAAAAACATTAGCATAGAACAGGGATCTACACACTTTATGTCCCCAGGGCCATATTGAGGCTTCATCTTTTTATTTTATTTTTATTTATTTATTTATTTATTTTTATTCATTATTTTGATTTTATTTCAGTATAAACAAGTTTAGTCAAAATGTTTTGAATCGTTTCCAAGAAACTATGGAAAATCAATGATTTGATTGGAACATCTGGTAAGTCTATTTTATTAAAAAAAGTTGTAACACCCCCGGCGCATAGCTCTATTTCTTAATTTCAATTTCTTTATTGAAATAGGTCGTTCACCCAATCTCACAGAAACCATTTTGCGAAACATAATTATTTGGACCCAGATGATTTCAAAATGTTTAATGCAGTTGAAAACTCGGTTCAAAAATTTTTCCGATTGCAACATTTTCCTTTTCTACTCATTTCCAATATATGTTTGTGAAAGTAAAAAGTATTTATTTATTTTCTAACAATGGGGATTTTGCAATTATCTACGAGTTATTATAGCCCTTACACATATACAATTTAACTGTAAGCTTGAAGGTAGAAAATATCAAAATTTAAAAAAAAGTAAAAGTAAAAACAAGAAATAAAAATAAATTAATAAATGAATGTACCAAATTACCATTAAAACAAATTATAAATAATTAAACAATGATTCGAATGGAAAATTGATAGAATTTTATCAGTAGATTAGACTTAAATAAATTAAATACTCACCAAAAAAAAAAAAAAAAAATGCGAGGATTTTTAAAAATTGAAATGATTGACCTTTAATCAAACGGAATCGTATAATTGACAATATCTTCCTCTAAATTAAATCTTAATAAAACCAATCAAAAACTTAAGGATATGCGTATTTTTATCTAGTTTTGTTCACCATTAAAATAACTTTTCTTCGCCTTATAAACTTAAAGTATATATATATATATATATATATATATATATATATATATTGATTTGAAAATAATTCCTGAAAGTCTAGCGACTGTCTTGAAATATACAATGCTGTCCTTCAAAGTTTAATTAAAAATTTCCTTGGACGCTCCGCAAAGTAAATATCCTTAAAATTCTTTAGGAAAGGGCTGACTTGGATTAAAATCACTGGAATAAGTTTATAATAAAAAAAGTTGATCTAATTAACTTCCTTATGATAACTTATCTCATTCTCCCTAAATAACTAAAAATGTCTTTAATTTAAAAGTGGTATTCACTTAATTTCGGTTAAACGTGATACAGAAAACATACTGACTAAATTATCTATAATATGTCGAATATAGAAGTCGAATAAAGATAATATGTCGAAGTCTATTTTGCGGTGCACCATTGTTTTCAATTATTGCTAAATCAAATGAAAAACAGTTAAAATCGTTTCAAAATGTAATATTGATAAAAGTAGTCAAAGTAATATAAATAAATAAGGGACTTAATAAAAATGTCTGTTAAATGTTATATGTGTTATGGTTCAATATAGTTAAAATGCTAAGCATGTGTATTTTGTGGTAATCTGCACAAACATAATAACTAGAGGTCGGATTTCCATGTTATTGCACTTTTTATTCGCTTGCGTGTAAAAATTCCGGACCCGAACATCTATTCGTTTCAGGACCTGTAGAATAACATATTTATTAAATTTATTATTTTAAATTTATTCATTAATAAATTTATTAAATTTCATATTGCACGTATTGCCGTTTTTTTTGTTTAAATTGCACAATTTTGATTATTGTTGCATTAAATTGCACATATTTGTGCTAAATTAGACCATTTATAAATACAAATGTACAAGTAAGTGAGTTAATGTTTATTTTACTTTTTATTTTACTATATTGTTCAAATTAAATTCATTATTCAAAATATAAAAATATGAGCAGGCAAATAATTCTGTGTGAACAGTATTCATTAGAAAAGGAAGAAGACAACACAAATGAGATCTATTCTTGGAATAGAACTTTCCCAAAGTATTGGATAATAAAAAGCTGCTTTCCTAAAATTGGCTGCTTTGTTAGTAAGACATTTATAGTTATTGTTTTGGCTTGACTCCTCACTCACCGTTTAACCCTTCAGTATCTGTTCTGGCTTTGAATTGATTTTTAGAAATTTCATTATCATAAAAAAAAATTATAATACTGAAAGTAAAATCTAGTCTCCCGTCAAAAATTTAAATCTGGATATGAAAATACTCCCATTTGAAATGTGAGTACAAAGAATTTGATAAGAAAGTTCTACATACCTTATTAAAAATCGATCAGGTGATAAGAAATCACTGATGGATTCACATTGAGAAACATGTAAGAAAAAAATATCCTTTTCAAACAATTAATTTTTTTTTTTTTTTTGTATTTTAGAAAGGACGTACTCTCCAAAAATATTTTTTTCTATAGTGATATAGAAAAACAGCTTCAACACTAATATTTGAACACCTGAAAATTTCAAACATTACAGTCTATTTCATTTTTTTTTTTAATTCTTTAGTTTTAACAAAAACGCTTTGGAATGTTTTATATATTTGAAATTTCAACTCTACTAAAAAATAAATTTTCATTATTATTTATAATAAAAGTTGAATATCTGAAATTGGTCTAGTCTATATAATATATAGTACCTATAAATCCTGCTTTCGTTTATTCGTTCAAACCCTCAATGTTCTGCATTATTTGATAATAATCGTTATTATAATAGTTGATTATAATCTGGAATTTCATTTTCAATGTTTCATTGCGTTTATTTTATCTCACGTTTAACTCAAGATCTGATAAGATTTCGATGTATTAGTGTATTATAAATTAAACAATATTGATGATTTTACACGTTTTAGATGTTAATTACACAATTTTACGAATGTTGTGTTTTTACTGTACGATTTTACACATTTTGAGTTTTTTACTGCACGTTTTCCGGATTTTTACTGCATAAAAATCCGGTCTCTAATAATAATACTTTATCAGCTATAGTAAGTTGAAATCTCCACTTATAACTTTGATTCTACTTGTAGATGTTAATGTTTAATACCTCATTTTTCTTTTATTGAAACACGTTATTATATGAAGTGTGCCAAACCTAAATTAGGAATTGAATTTATAAGGACTTGATTATTTCTTTTTTTTTGTTAATTTTTCAGTAATTTTATTTACATATCGTTACCATGAAATCAAATTGTTTAGCCGAGGCACAATATCCTCAATAAATGCTTATCTTCAATAATACTACAATCCATAAAGGGCCAGGGCTTCCCCTAACAGCAACTGTCAGTAAATGACCAAATCTCAGAAGTGTAGGGCTTGATAAACATATCAATCTAAAATCAGGGTAATCGTGCATGGATGA